ATAGCATATTAGGTCGGTTATAAAAATAACCGATCTCATACTAATATGTACAAATTAGATTGGTTAAAGAAACAACCGATCTGATATGTCTTCTTCACTACAAAGCGTGATATCTCTATTGTTTCTTCTTTTCTTCTTTGCGAAAAAATTCGAGTAAAGAATTTCAAAATGTTAAAAACAAAGCATAAGCTCATATGGAAATTCATCTAAGAACTACTTTTAAAATGTTTAACCTTGACAAATAAGTCCAGATAAAAACATATATAAGGACTACATCAAATTGTCACACATCCACAAGTTACACATTTGGTAACGGGTTATCATAAAGAGATGTGTACTATTTTTCTTTAGTTCAGATTCTTTTTTCCTAAATTGGTTTTTTTTTTCTGAGTAAGGTTAAGGTTTTAATGAGGAACATTCTTCTAGGCTCTAATGCACACGACACCCGCACGCCACAATTAATAGAGAATGATAAAACTCGTTTATCCATCCATGATCAACCTGCACTTTATTTTCAACTTTCAAGTTCAGAGCTTATATGCATACTTCCAAAATATTATGAAATATCTCTAAGATATTTATAATTAATATTTATGGTATAATAACTTATTATCATATTTTGTTATATTTCCAAGATATCCTGATATAATAATTGATTATATAATATCTTCAAGAGATAATACATGATTATTTTCAAGTAATCAAATTTGTTTAATATATTTGTTTACCTATGGCCTAGGAAGCCTATAAGTACAATATCCTACTACTATAAGAAATGGTGATTGAATTCTCACATAAAATTATCATGCAATTCTCATTCAATATTACTCATTCAATATTACTCATGTATTATATAAATCCTTTAAACTCTAACTGAATTAGTGTCAAAGAGTCTTATGCAAGTGAATTTTACCCTTCTCTCAATGAGACTTAGAGCTCTATCAACAAGAAACACAATTTGACTTTTGAGAACCTCATTTCACAGAGACATATCAGTCAAATCCGATAAGAACATAAATATTTCTTGACAAACAAATCTAAAAAAAGAAATCGAGTTTGATTGTAATATTTAGTAGAACCAGATAAACTTCATCTTACCCTATTAATTTAGAATACAATTGAATGAGAGTTAAATTCTAGTACGTACTTGTTCTAAATTTAGCGTAAAAGGAAGAGGAATTAAGAGCCACAAAAAACCAATGAAAATGAAAGATGACACTTTTTTGTGGTATGGTTGTTGAGTGAAAGAGAGATGAAAGGAGTATTCTGTTTGAATTGCGGCTAATATGAGAGGAAAGAGAAGTGAGATAAGGCTTAGGAGGATTTAGCAGCACATGGAAATTGGAAGTGATGTTGGGTTACTTCTTTCTTCAATTTAGCAACAGTTGGGCAACCCACATGTTTGGCAGAACAAGGTCAGCAGAAGATCTCAAGCATGCCTCATGCAGTAACACCTTTTGCTTTCCCATAACAATGGCATGTGCCAAATGGATAAGAAAATCCAATTGCTGAGGTTAATGTCGAGAGAGAGAGAGAAAAAAAATGAAATGTTATGGAAGAAAAAGGAGTGGAGAAGATTTATAATAAAATGGATTTGCATGTTTGGAGCTTAGTGCTTACAACTTGATATTTCTACCATGAATTGAGGCTGATGCTACTTCATAACCCATCACTTCAGGTGCCAAACTTATCTTCATGCATGTAGCACAAAGATATGTATAAAGACATCATCAAACATCAATTAATGCAACTGCAAACAGAACATTGTCTTTGTAAAAACAAGGATTCACCAATGCTTTCTAATAATTAAAATGCAATCCTGTTTGATTTTGACTCAAAAAGTGATTGTAAAATGGATGGTGGTGCATAAAAAATGGAATGCTCCTAAGCTTATAAACTAAGATACTGATTTATTGGACATTTTGCTATCTATAACTATTGATGGAGATTTCTTTTAGTATAGCTCCATAATCGTTTTTTATCTACACATCTCATTTCCAATTTTACAAGAATATAAACCTTTTTATTAATTATTTTACCCTTCAGATTTTGTAACTACCTTTTTATAATTATTTTTTGAAAAAATGTTTTTGATAATTTTAATAATATTTTTTTATCTTAATATTAATTCAAAAAATTAATTTTTATATTTTAATTACTATAAGGTAAAAATGGACACACATGAGCGTATTAATAATGTTTTTAACTATTATTTAACATTTATTTTGGACTTTTACATTTTTACTGTTTAAAAAGACTTGTTCTAAAAAAATATATTTTATATTACTGATAAATAAAATAATTTTGAAATTAGGTAAAAAAAGATTTGATTAACCACATTAAAGAAAATTTACTTAAAGCTTGAATTTTTCAATTACGAAGTCCCATTTGTGAAGAAAATAGTAAAAATGACCTTTCTTTTTTGTGCGAAGCCATATCAATTTCACTTTAGTAAAATATGTTAGTTATTCTAATCTTCAAGGATTAAATTTATAATAAATCAATCTTAGTTTATACAAAGTTGTTGACCTCGTAATATTTGGTAAAAGTTATACTGGCAAAATTTAGTCTCTTTACACCATTATATTTTTCATAAGAAATAATTGAAAAATATTTTGATGTTTATACTATAATTTTTACAAACATGTTAAAATCATAATGAAGTAAAAATAACATTATAATTCAATTATTTAAAAAATTAAAGTTTATGATCACAAACTAAAGATAAAATTTGAATAGGAACCAGGGATTTTCTTTAAACTAATAATTGAAATAACTCCCACGCATATTCTTTAACGTAATGTCTGAAGAAGAAAAGATAACAATGAGCTAAAAACAAGGAAAGTTGATATTTTGGGTACATTTTCCTCTTCCTCATTACCAATGAAGTTGAAGCAATGTCCGGGAAAACCTTTGGTCCGCTAAGTAAAAACAAAACATTGAAACTGTGATGGTGAGTGTGTGCTAAATTTGTAGGACTCTTCCGTTCTTTTTTCCAGGTAAGTGTCAATGGATAGTTTAATATGTAAACAGACAGAATGAATATTATTATTCACCCACATAGGAAATTTCCTAATTTGAGAGTGTGAAGAACTAAAACATTGAAGTTTAGTGTTCTGGTTAAATCGAGTCTTTACTATTTTATCCAACACAATTTTTTATAGAATAAAAACAGTGCATCCTATGTAATTTTCTATGATTTAATTTGTACTGACAAATAACTCTTTAAAAGGGCATCTTCCATCCTAAAATATCGGTTACGTTTTACCATAAAAAAAGGGAAAAGGTTTTTCACTTAAGAAAAACTGCTGAGACAATTTACAATTGTTTTCTTTTGTCATGACAATCACCAATGTAATGAGATCTCTTCAAACATAGACCATCTTTCAGAATTTTGAAGAAGTGTTTGGATTAGTGTTTTAGGAGGTCAATTTTAAATCTAATTCAATCTTACAAATGGTTATAAAATTGGTTTGTAAGGTGATTCCACTTATATATTCTAAATTGGTCTAAATTTTGATCTTATCTATAATCGATATGGAACTTTTAACATAATCCACTCATGCCGAAGTATATATATCTCATGTATGGAACTAGACATTAATGGATGGACCGATACTAGGTGGAACAATATGCCCAACAAACACAATTCTTCCTAGAATAGGCTCTAACTCATGGCTCTGATACTATGAATAGATTTTTCGAGAGAGGATCACTGCAGAGATACAACACCAATGAGACATGAACTCAAAATAAGGGTTGACACCACCTACAACCCATAATCTTAAGGAAATGGGTTTATGAGTCTTCATCTTTATATGATATTTAACTTTCTCACTTTTTCTCAATGTAGGACTTAAGCTCACACTTGGATTCCCAACAATTTTCCCCTCAAGTATAAGTCCCTTCACATTGGCACTTCCGCTAACCACGAGTACCCCTTCTTGAACTACCGTTCATCTCAAAGGGACACACTTGCCTAACCCTCCATCAAGAAGACTTTCAATATAGGGACTCGTCTAAGCCAGTCACCAACATGAACCTTCAGCTCACAGGTCCTAGGATCAGAACCTCACTCTGATACCATGTTAGGAAGTGAACTTTAAGTCTAACTCAATCCTATCAAATTGACTTGTAAGGTGAAGTTTACACTCCTTATATATACTAAATTGGTCTTGACCCTAATCGATGTGAGACTTCTAACCATTTGTAACTCAAGGAACTAACAAAAAAGATAACACGAAAAGCTATGATGCCTAGATACTTCAATTTGAGGCACCGATACTTCAATTTGGAGCACCGATACTTATTAATGAAGTATCTAATCTATAAATTAATAGTACTTTTATTATAACAAATAATTTATAATTTTTAACTTTCACAACATTTATAAATATTTATGAAAGGGTTTATGGATCTTCATCTTTATATGATATTTAACTTTCTCACTTTTGCTCAATGTAGGACTTAAGCTTACACTTGGATTGCCAACAATTTTCCCCTCAAGTATAAGTCCCTTCACATTGGCACTTTCACTAACCACGAGTACCCCTACTTGAACTACCGTTCATCTCAAAGGGACGCACTTGCCTAACCTCCATCAAGAAGACTTTCAATGTAGGGACTCATCTAAGCCAGTAGTCACCAACACGAACCTTCGGCTCACAAGTCCTAGGATCAAAATCTGAATCTGATACCATGTTAGGAAGTGAACTTTAAGTCTAACTCAATCCTATAAAATCGGTTTGTAAGATGATGTTTGCACTCCTTATATATACTAAATTAGACTTAACCCTAATCGATATAAGACTTCCAACCATTTGTAACTCATGGAACTAACGAAAAAGATAACATGAAAAGCTATGATGCCTCGATACTTCAATTTGAGGCACCGATACTTCAATTTGGAGCACCGATACTTATTAATGAAGTATCTAATCTATAAATTGATAGTACTTTTATAATAACAAATAATTTAAAATTTTTAACTTTCACAACATTTAATGTATATGATTTTAATTTCACACAATAGCAATTATATATTTATCATGTTTTTAAGAATTTTTGTAAACTTTTCAATATGTATATATATTGTTAAATACATGTCGTATCTAATACATGTATCATATCGTGAGTCACATGGAAAGTAAAATAAAATAACCCAAACTTATCAGTGAAAGGCAACAGGGAAACTAACCAGCACAAATAGAACATTGATAATAGTTGATGAATATTTATATACGATATTAGACGAACAAATTTTTTGTGAAATCCTAATCAGAATGCATTTACACGACTACAAAACTAAGAAAAAATTTATAACTGAGAATCAACTATACATATAGCAAGGAATAGCAGAGTGGTATTTCAAGGAAAGGAATAAGAAAATAGACCTGCTCAATAAAGTAAACAAGCAAATCCTCTGAGAGTTCACGGTCACCAGATTGGGAGCAAGTTTCCATGCAGTCCTTGTAAAGATTTTCCCTTTTTGACAAAGCAATAAACTGCTTCCATCTTCCAGCTTTTTTATAAATATAAGCTACACGCCTCATCTCAAGAAGCTCATGCTTTTCAATCTGCACTTAAAATTGTTAATAATCGTTCAAACTTTAAGGAGTTGTTTGGTTTGAGAATGTGTTTTCCATTTTCATTTTTAATTACAGAATGTAATCACGTTTCAGAGTTTGTATAAGAAACATTAAAACTTTTGATTCCACAGTTTTCTGTTTTTATTACAAAATTTTACGTTTTCACAGTTTCCCATAAGCTTTTGAAATCAGGGAAGTAAATGAAAATAAAGTGAAATTTTTGTAATCAAATGTAAAAAAAGAAACAACCAAAAAAACATTTCTTCAAACCAAATGATATAAGTTTCTCAGTAAACTTCAGATTTCAGTTTTACCAATTTGTGCAAGTTCAAGGAACATTGTGTCATGAAATAACAATCAGACATAAGAATAGAAGCAACGGACCAGAAGGGCCCGAATGAAAAGGCCGGCCTTCTCACAAAGATGAGCAATCCATGGATGATCGTAATGACTAAACATGCCATTAGCTAATGTAGCATCAGCAACATTTGGAAACGTCACAAGATTAATTTCCAGCACCTACAGATAGTAAATACTAAAATAATTAATAAAGAAACTATATAACAACAATTGGGTCATGTATAGAGATTACAGCAAATAAAATAGAAGAAGGAAATTTGTATTAAGTTTGTTAGATCTAATGATCAACTTGCATATGTGTTAACAAAATCATTAAGGGAACATTGAATTGATTTTATCTGTTCCAAGCTTGGGAAAATGCTATATACTTATTAGTCATACCTATCTTTGTATCTAAGTATCTATGATTGATCTTTGATCTTCCCTATACATATTGTATCAGGATCCTATAATATAAATATGACAACATATGAGGAGAGTTCTCAAGCTCTCTCAGTTACTCTTAAATGTAGTCCTTTTTCCCACTGTTCCTCCTACCTCACCCGCCTCCTCTTTCGCAATGGTGTCTGGACTATAAGCCCCTCCATAATGGAAACACCTACCTTCCTCCCTCCTTCTAATACTCGGGATAGGGAAATCCTCTTGATCCTCGATTCCTCAGGCCTCCTGCTGAGTTTTCTCCTATATTTGAACCATATGTTGTTCCATTCCTTTCTTTCCTCACATTGCTATCATTATTGGAAGCAACCTGCGAACTTCCTACTCCTTTAAAGGATTTTTTACGTGACACTACTCTTGTCCCTCCTTGATACAGAAAATTGGAGTTGTTATTTCGGTATAATACTCCTCTCCCTCATCTAGCATCTTTCATTGAATCCTCCACATCACAAACAATTTCCATGGCCAAAATTGAATATTTCGGATCATGTGGCCTAGTCTGGCTGCGTATCTTATTTTGTAAACCAGCAAAGAAATACCCCAACAACTGTTCTTCAGAAATATGCAGAATTTGTGACACCAACAATTCAAACTCTTGGATGTAATCCTCTACTTTATAATTTTGCCTTATTGCTGCCAACGTTCAAAAACTGTGTTGCGGTCCTTGCCTCCAAATCTCCTATTCAACGCAGTTGTCATATCTTCACACGATGGATTTTTTGTTTTTTGTTTCCAGAATTTAAACCGGTGACTTGCATTCCCCTCCATAATGATGAAGGCCAAGCCTAACTTTTCTCTTGGGGTGACATTCTGCACCTCAGAATTTTTCTACCTTGAAATCCACCCTAACTGATCACTCCCTTCAAATGTAGGTAATTCCACCCTTTTCATCCAATGTCTCTGGACTTCTTTCCCTTCCTCATCGAATCTGTTATTGTGTACAGATCTTTCTTCCCTCCTTCCTCCATCATTAATAGAATTTTAACCCCTTCCAGGCTTTTATCGGCTTTCTTGGAATGACGCAGCAGCACTGATTTCTTGCAAACTATCTTTCATGATATCCATTTGTACCTCTGTCATAGCCCTCTCTTGTTCGCTGGCCCATTTCTCTATAGCATTCATTCTATTCTCCATAATTCTCCATGGTCAGATCAAATTGTTATGTTCCACGACCCAAAAAACAAGATAACACACCAACCTTTCCTAAATGTTCCTCATGATATCACTCTCACAGTGAATCAGAAAAAAAGAAACCAAGGTATTTGTTTACAATGGACGATGCTTCCCTTCCCACAGGACGGAAGTTCCTGTCAACTATACACAACTCCGAAAACTACCCCACACAACAGCCCTTCATCCTATATAAAGACTCTCTCATAAAGGCTCACCCCTGCCCTGACACAAACTCCCCTCTAACTACTTTTTATTAATAAATTTTCTCCTAAAATATACATTCCATTTCCTATCACTGTCTCTGACATCCCCAGGAGATATGACCTAAATAGTAAATGTAACTAGTAGTCCTCACCTTAATAGTTGATTTTGTGGCATTGAATTAGGTCCAAAACCCAAATTTTAAAATGCTACCAAAGTCTATCTTAGATCTATTGTTAGTTCACCCACATTTTCCATGCATAAGTTCCATAAACTCTAGGCACAAGGGGGAGAATTGAGGTATTTACATATCTTAAAGGTGTTAAAACACTTAAAGGTTTCCAAGTAGATGATAAATGTATATCAAATTTCTAATTACAAAAGAAACATTAATATTTTGTAAATCGTAGTGCTTTGACATGTAAATCGTGAAGTATAAGTTAATTGGTAGATTTTCATCACCATATAATCATAACATGTTTGTAAAACAAGTCTACCTAGGAGAACAAGTGAAGATAGATAAGATACCCCTCTAGTTAGTTCCTACATTTTAAGGGATGAATGAACGTCATTCTTACAAATGGCCAGCCAAATAGATTGCCAACCGTTTGCAGACCATTAATATGCTGACAGAAGGAATTTCTAAAACCAAAAATCTTCATTGGTTCACTATCACCTAGAATATAAGAGTGGAAAAGATATTAAATACAAAAACCTAACCTTGTGTTTAGGTAGGAATTTCACAATTTCTAAGACATTCAAATACATTACATTTGAATTAATGTCATTTCACATTGTTTCATTTTTCAATGTTTTGTTTAGATAAGGCAATCCAAATTTAGTGAATTTTAATTTTCTTGTTTGGTAAAGTATTTCAATTACAACCAAATTCCAAAAATTATTTAAATATCAAAAAATTGTTAAAAATTCTAAATTCAAAAATATCAATATTGATAATCTTTTGTAGCCCAGATTGAGCCAAGTCAGGGCAAAGCACATTATGTCAAGTTGGGATGGGTCCACATTCATGTGAGTTAGGGTCTAACCACATTTAGTTTAGTTGGGCTTGGCCAAGGTGGGTCCTAGTTCGATCAAGACCAAATCAAATCGGATTGAGTTGAGTTGAGTTTGTCTGAGCTCAAGTCGATTCAAGTTGGCCCAAGCCCAACCGAGCCAAGTTGGCCCATGCCGAGGTCGACCTAAGTCCAAATCAAGCTAGGTGGGGCAGGATCACTTTCAGCCTAATTAGGCTAGGTCCATCTCGAGTCAAGTTCGGTTAGGTCCAGTCTAGGTTGGGTATAGGTCAATTGGGCCCAGGTATATCGAGACAAATAAGGTTAAGTTTAGTTGAGTCAGGTTGGACCTGTGTTGGCCAAAGACGTCGGGTCAAAACCAAGTCAAACTTAATTAGGCCAAGTTGACCTGGGCAAGACAATCAAAACTACAAAGACCAAAATATGAACTTGAGAATATGGAGAATTTCAAATTCTTTCTTTCCATGTAGAGTTTGAAATTCTTTAATTTTAAGTAATCCACTTAATCTAATGAAATTCTAGAATTTCAATTTCTTTCAAAATTCCTTACCCAAACAACATATTTTGTCATAAAGCATTACACATTCTCTAAAAAAAATGAATTACCTTTTTAATATGACCTATCCAAACACACGATAAAAAGTTCTAGTGCATAGCATGAAATTGGCGTATAAGATGTTCAAATGTCAAATTAGAAAATAGAATTCTATATGGAAAACAGGTAATTAAAACATATGAGAAGTAATAGAAAATTATGAAAACTCAACCGACCAATGATATACAGCCGTCCGAGTGACAATTCCTAGCGTGTTTGGAGTTATCCACTTCCGAAAGACAACCTGAAGGAATTGAAACATCAAACACATGATAATTAATAATCACATATGCATCCCAACACACTCTACGAAATAGATTCTTATAAGGTAAGATTCGTGGATTTAAATTGCAAACCACATCACGTGATGCAGCCACAGCATCTGCTTGCTGTGGTGGCCGCCACAACTACATAAAGTTGTGATTGTGGATCACATTGACCACAGTTGGTCCTTTAGCCACCGACATGCAATGTTCTACAACAATAACTAAAAACCTCGACCATATCTAATTCTAAATCATTGACAGATTTACGCCTGTCCTTTCATCCGATGTAATTTCATCTTTGCTTTTGTTTCAATGTTAAAAACTTGCAAATGATCCTGTGTAGTCCCTGGAACTTGGGCTGAAAATAGAACCTCATATTCAGAGACATACAAAATCCATATGTGCACAAGCTGCAGTTATCCGAATCATTAACTAGCACAATGACACAAACCACAGTGATCATTCACCATGACGAGATGCGTACACAGAACTTATCGATTTTTATTCTTCCATAGCCACAAAAGTAGAGAAAAACATGCATGATATACAATTAGGAGCTACCAACACAAATCAGAGCCTCCAACGTTACCTTTCAGAGCAAGAATACGAGTTGTGGTTCATTAGAGCACAATCAGCAGTTATGGGCCGTCTCAAAGGCTGCATTGGCGTACTCGTCCGATTCCATTGTCACATGAGTAAATGTCATGAATTTCCGGTTGATTGCGACGCTTTCCAGCTGCAAAAGAACACCAAATCGAAAATAAAACAAAAAAAAGTGGAAACTTCACAGTTGGGTCACTGTAATGGAATGGTGACAACGGTATGAGGATATGAGATCTAACGAATGAAAAAAATAGAGACAACCCACACCCATTTGCTGAAAATGAAAAATCTTTGATTTTGGAAATGGAAATGGGAAATTAAGACGAGGGTAGGAGTGGAAAACAGAGACACTAACCGTTAAGGTCTATTTCATGGTGATAGGGGCGTTTGCAGCAATTGTACATGAACAATAGCATCAGAGAGAGACAGAGACGTTAGGTAGAAAGAGAATGTTGAAGTTTAGAGGAAGAAATTTGTTACACTTTGAGATATGATGCAACGAAAGCTACGCGGAGAAACAGTGAGATACTGTGAGACGGATGAACGGAACAGGAGAAACCGGAAGGGTAGATTACGAAATTCCAACACTCAGCCTGGTATAAAACTTGGGCCTAGAAATCATGTATGAACTTAGGATAGACTTTTTCTTCGTGCACCCCAACAATTTTTAAAAGGATTATTTTACTCTTTCTAAAAGTGATTTTGGGATTATTTAATTTGAAAATCGTCTAAAACATTTTTTAAATTATTCTAAATTATGTTTTCCACATTATCTTGTTATTCCCGATTAGAGATGAGCATTTTTGCCAATTGATTAAAGTTTATTCCATGAGTATTTTCAACTCTTTTAAATTGACTTTCAAGAACATTCTCAATCACATTAATTATTAATAAATGTGTTGATGGGAAAAACTAGAAATGTTTTCCAAAATTACATTTTTAACGTGAAATATCTATTTAATTATGATAGGAATAAAGCTGAGAAATTATCCTTTGTAAATCTATCCTTGGATAATTTTTTTCTTTTTCATGTATAATGAGTTGGATTACTAATATAGTTCCACTTTAATATTTAAATATTATATACAATATTTTTTAATTTCACAATAAAATGATACTTAAATGTTATTGTATTTATATAATAGTAACATGACATGTTATAACATCTTTTGTCGATCAAAGCAAGTTATTGGTAGTAGCATGACATATCAAACAATATGATTAGGCTCGGATGTAATTTTTAAATCTTTGTCACACAATTGGTTAATGTTAAGCAAATTATATTTTAATCCATCAACAAGCAAGACATTTTCAATAACGTATGAAGAGGGTGCTTGAATTTTATCGATACCTACTATTTTACCCTCGTTATTGTTTTCATATGTGACGTGACCACTTGTTTTGTATGATTTGTTGATGAATCTTGTTGAATCTCCTGTCATGTGTCTGGAGCATCCACTGTCCAGATACCACTAGCTTGCTTTTCTCCTTGTTCTGCACACGTTTCAACAGGATTTGATTTGACCATCATACTTAAATCTGTTTGCTACAAATGTTGGTCTCTAACAAGCTTCAGATCTTCGTCGAAATTGTTGTCAATTTTCCATTTGTTCAACAGGAATTTTGTGAACCTTTCTGCCATCAGATCATATTATTTATCCTCCAATTGTAGGATGTTGATGGTTCTTTCTTTCCCTTGAATTTATTTCCAAGATACTTTTGTCTTAAAAAACTCATAAGAATTATTAATGATAGAACTACTCATATCTTTACTAGTTGCATTCAAGAAATCCTCATTAATTTCACTCTTACTCACTATCAAAGAAATATTAGCCATCATGATCAAAGTAATCGATTTTATTGAAAATCAAATCGATTAAAACTTGAACAAAATTCAAATTCCCAACTCTAGTGCCAATTGTAGAAAATAGTACGTCAAGTTTCTTAACCAAGAGGGGGTTGAATTGGTTTTGTTTTATAAAAATTGTTATTTTAAAACTGTTTTCAAAATCTTTGAACCTTTCTTGGAATGCAAGGGTAAAGGGATAGAGAAATTCACACAAAGATATATACTGGTTCGGCCAAAGCCTACATCCAGTCTTATTTCAATCAACTTGAGATTAAAAGGATTCCACTATATAGATTGAATTCTACAATAAGAAATATAGAGATAACCCTCTCAATGTATTTTCCTCTCTAACTTCAAATCTACTATAGTAAACACACATAAAGAACAATCATCTTCTTGCAACCTCTTTGAGATACCACACTCAAAGTCATTAGAGCTCCACAAGTTCTCTTCCTGGCCAGCAACAACAGGGAAACCACAATCACAAATGATTGCAAATGACTCTGATCTTCCAAAAGAACACCTCACAGTGCAGATTAATCAGACTTGTAAAGTACAACAACTCTTCAAGAATCCTTGATATGATTTCTTTCCAAATGAACTTCTTGATTCTTGGAGAAAAGACACTCCTACAATTAAGAACTCAACAAACTTTATCATATATGAAAGTTATGCTTAAAAAATGGTTTAATGCAAAGAGCTATGTGTATATTTAGAGATATAACAGTATTGACGCAAATTAATCTATTACGTTATTAATGTAATCGATTAAGCAATTAATACTTTCTTAACAGAATTACATTAAACGCATTTAACAGATTAAGCGTTGCATGTAATCAATTATGTAATTAATACAAGTCATATCATTTAAAAATATGATCGTTATGGTAGTTATGACTTATCGAAAAACAGGTTTTCAAAGCATACGTGTTTTAATCGATTAAGAAAATAATGTAATCGGTTAAGTACCATACTTAAGAAAATTTGAAAACGTTTTCATTCAAAACTCATCAATGCACTCAGTAATCAAGTATAAGCAAAGACACGAGTTTTAATCAATTATCCACATAATGTAATCAGTTAAAACTATTAGTTTGCCATATTTAATAATGTACTGATATTAGATGAATTGAAACAAATTTTATAAGTTGTGTAAACAATTTATTCATCCAGATATACAGGGTGCAGAGAGTTTTATCATTCAAAACCAATGAGTATGTATATCATAGATATAGTCATAGATATAATCACAAAGAATATGCATAATATATAGTTCAAGCACAATCAAATATATAAGCAACAATGTGTGCAAGAAACTATTAAAACATTTATGTTGTTGTCATTATCAAAAACACAGATGGGATATATGGGTTTAGCTTTAACATATCTTCCCCTATCAACACTTTTATGTATATACACAATCCTTTAAGAATTTCAAATCTCATTTTTTTAAACCGTTGTCCTTGACTCCCAAGCCCAAGCTCCATTTCTTCCTAAACCCACGTACTCATCAACAAGGGTTTCATCTCTACTAGGGTTGCCCCCATAATTTCACATCTGCACAAGAAAACTTACTAAGTGTTTAGGAAAAGAAATGGGTCAAGCTTCTCAACAAGCTACCTTGAGCAATTAGTTGTCAAAAATTGATTTGTGTCCCAGATGCTAAGGACCCCAAGGCATGTTTTGATGGTAAGTTCAATGTTTATTTAATATGTTTCCCTAATGGTTAATTTCCTTACTTTTCTTTTCTTTTGTAGAAATCATGTTGGATATGTTTGAGTACAAGGCCTTTCATTCTACCGTTGGACTGGCTACTCGTCCTCCTTCTAAAAAGCAAAATATCCATGTTGGGTCATCGTCAATTGCCTTTGTCACTGAAACAAATGTTCCTTTTGTTATTGTGCCACCTATGGTGGATTTGAAAGCCACCGAGTTTCCCCGAGACACCATCATCATTATTAACAACGGTGTTTCTACTATTGAGGGGGTATTGCCACCTAAAAGCATTGTCCAAACTTTCGTTGTGGGTTACCCTCAAGGTGGTTTGGTTCAATTTGTGTTCACCCAACAAAAGAGCCAAATTCTTATGCCTTTTCATCATCCTCCTCCTCCAAGGCATTTCCCAAGCTCATAACCACGAGTGGTGGTTCCCTTAATCTTGTGGACCATGTATCAGCATCGATCCCTGAAGCCCTTTTATCGTAGCATCTTCGATTGCATGGCGATCATATTCACCAACATGGGGTAAACTTTCCAACTTAATATGACATCGAGTTGATGAAGATGGTGGGTCCTAAAGGTTATATCGAATCCACGAAAGTGATAATAGCTCACTACATGGCGATCATGCAATACTTCAATAACTGCTTGGTTGGGAAAGAAAAAATGTCTAACAAGCTTGGTAAGGTAGAGAAAGAGAAGACGAGCATGATTGTTGAACTATAAAATCGGGCAAGGAAGATTGTCACTTCCTAGTATATACTAATTGCACACTAATTTGACTCCTAGGTCGTTTCTCAAGGACCAAATGTGGTTTAGGCAATAGGTCATACATGTGGTGGAGGGATGATTTTGGACAATTTTACTAACAAAGACACGAATTAAAATACTGATTAAGGACAGGTTGGTTATTGGCTCTCCTACAATGCTTCCAATCCCCGATTACCAATGATTATACACTTACTTCACCTTAATCCAACATTGATTAGCCTACTAAGCGAAGACTAAATACAGTTTTCATAATGCACACATTTAATTGGTTTGCTCTACCACAAATTAAGCATATGAAGTTCTAATCTACTAAGCGAAAATTAAATACAAAACAGGCAACTAAGCGTGTACCTAACCGCAAGCGCAAAACATATTATACGATTCAAGACAAAAATTCACAGAATCACAATAACAACATAATTATATCATGGAAACATTGCAGTTTCACCAATCACCAACCCAACACAATTAAGCTTTCATTACAAAACGAATTACAAAACATAAGCAGAGAAAATGCAAACAAAAATGAAAACTGACACTAAAATGAATCTGGAACACAATTTACAATCCAATTTGACAATAAGACAAAACTGGAATGTAAATGGAAGGACAGAAAACACAATTCATACAAGAATACGAATTCAAAAGAGAAAACGAATTACGAAACTGGAACAACAAAGAAAAGCAAAATTGCAAGGTGAAAACGAAAACCAAATTCAGTGAAGCAGCATCAATTGATTCAAGTGTCAAATGAAATTCTAAGAACAGTAGAAGCAATGAAGAACGAAAATGAGCAAGAAAACCAAAAATGAACTTCAAGATGGGATTGCAATTTAATAAAAAGTGAGTTCAATACAAAAGAGAAGTAAAACGAAAATGAGAACCTCCATGGAAGCTCTGGACTAGCAGCTCTAAGCTAAAAAATGAAAACTAGAATGAATGAAGGAGAGGGGAAGAGTGGTGGCTACAACATGGGTTCAATAACCTAGGTCAGCCCCTTTTTGGGCCTTTCTTAATTTACCAAAAATGGTCCATTGTTTCCAAATCTGACCCAAAAGTCATAAAAACCAAATTACAATTTAATTTAAACTAAAATGCTGATGTGGAGAGTGGAGAATGACGTGGTAGCTCTCTTAATATCTGAAAATATGATTCCAAAGTTTGCACTGAAAATGATAATGGAAATAAATAAGCTCAAATAATTAAAATTAATTAAAATATGAATTACTTATCAAATTA